TGGTTTATATTTGGTATATATAACAATGGCCCCCTTTGACATCTAGAACTCCAGCACCACCATCGTATTAAAAAATTTATTTATAATTTGCCGTAGGTTGGTTTTACGTTGTTTTGCATGCACTCTATGTTTTGTATTGTTTAGCAAAAGTTAGCATGCTAAAATGCTAAACTATCATGGTGAGTATGGTAAACATTATCACTGCTTCTGAGCATTTTCTCATGCAGTAGTTAACATTTACCTGCAAGTATGCCTGTGCCTGAACGTAACACCACAGAGCTGTTAACAAGGCCCATTAAAATGCTTTGAAAAGGTCAATTTTTTGGACTGAAAAGTTAAATTGTAGTGTGGAAGGCATTGGTAGAGTTCAGCAGGAAGCTGCTAGAATGTCGGTGGTGCTTACAGAGTCACCTGAGGTGTCTCCGTAGTCAAAGGTTATGGCTTGTGTTCAGTAACTCAGAGTGTTCTCAGTAGTGTGACAGTCGATGGCCAGTGCACAGTAACCCATAGCAAAGCAGGACTATGCTATTTGAAGTTGCCACCTCCACACTTTGCTCCCAGCAGGTTGTTCAGGACCCAGACATGATCCCCTGCTTGATCTGTGCGCCTACAGTAAAGGGCAAAGCCTCGGAGACAGACAGCCTGCTAGATAAAGGATTGATTCTTGGTTTTAACGCCGGAGTCTTTGAATGTGTCGCATTCATGAATCATCAATAGCACAGCAAGCCTTTTAAAATAGATTTTACAAGGTGGTTTGAAGAGTTTTTCACTTCTAAAAAAAATAAATAAATAAATAAAATAGAGATGTATACCCAACCAGCATTTTCCTCAAAGGCGCAGTCTTTCATATTCATGTGACCCAGTAGCAGCGTGAGACATCCAGGTCAACACTTCTACTGAAACAAGTCCTGAACCGCACGCAAGTTACATAAATGGTGAGCTTCTGGTAGGCTACCATTAAAGACGGTTTCTTTAATTATTCCTGGCAACAACCCCCCCCAACTATCCCCCCGTCCTCTGGGCCTTCCTGGGTTCATTCAGACTCCACATCCGACGACGGCCCTGCTGTCCTGGGGCTCTGTCACTGAGGGGAAGGAGCCAGGGATTAGGACACACCTCAGTGGGCAGTAGCAGGCCGCTGCCTGGCCCGTGGCGCCTGACTCATCCCATTCTCCTCCACTTTTTATGGGCTGACATTCCCATCAGCCCCTGCTCTTACATGCGGCTCATCGCTTTGACATGCTGGTGAGTTTCTCCAGCAAAACGAGGAACTTTTACCTCTGACCAAACAGAGTGGGTGAGTACTTGTGAAGCGCAGATCGCTGCAGGAGGCTGTGACTAAAGGCCCATTAGGATTGTTTGGCAAAATAGAAACCGTCTGACTCACTCTCGCTTTTATGGTGTTTTGATTTTGTTTTTCTGCTTTTAATCCGCAGCACCTGAATTTTCTAATGTGAAGTACACATGATACGGTTTTCTTTGACCGATTTGCTTCTCTCTGTGAGCTCAGCCAAATGCTATTGACCTGAAATGTTTTCTGCAGCAGACCACACATCCCACTATAGTTGTGCTCCATTTAGCACATCTACTCCCCCCCCTACCCCGAGCTTCCAATATTGCCATGTCTGTGGTCCTGTTTTGTAAGCCCTCAGTGGTCCCAGTCACAGCTGAAGCCATCACAGGACAGGAGGCTTATTTTAGACCTGGACTCTAGGTGCCAACCACCCTGTCATTATTTCCACGGCTGTGGACCAGATGTCGCAGCTTATAAAAACTTTTCTATTATTTTGTCTTTGTCATAGTCGGAGCTCAGGTGATTGGAAGCTCAGCACAAATATGTGATTGCAAAGTTGTGTATCCATCATCACAAAAGCCAATGCATTTAAGACTCGAGTGTGCCTCCAGTTACAGGTGCCCTCGTGAGTTTTTTCGATTGCCACTTGTCGGGGTGTACAGATTTTTCGGCTATGACACCAATCCAAGACTTTTAATATTGAGCATCTGCTGATACCGACCCATTTGATGCATACATTTACCTTCATCAAATAGAAATTCTTTCATTCTTTGCTGATCATTGGCTGATCTCGACTCATCGTTTTGAATTTCTGATGAAGGTTCAATAGGGAGAATGTACCTGATGAACTGATGTCAGCTGCACAGGAGATGCGTCACTCTGTTGGAGTGTTTGGGGCAACAGAAACACTCGTACCTGAAGTGGACAGCGGCGGTATCGAGTGGAATATCCTCCCTCACATCAGCGATCTTTGGTCCGAGTGTAGAAACACTAAGTGCAGAATAGTTTAATGTTGGACTAGCATCAGTTTGACATGGTGATGTTTTGCTTTGTATGCTGATTTGTGCGAATAAGAAACAGAAAGGAGAGATCCATCCATTATCTATACACCGCTTAATCCTCACTAGGGTCGCGGGGAAAGGAGAGATAAGATTTAATAATGTTTCACACCATCAACGCTCGTAATTTTTCACAAATACGCACATATGAGCAAACTGTAGGCTGTCGTAAAGGGAAAAAAAGTGTTGCGACACTAGCAGGGGGAGAAATAAATATTCATCGACACGTCTAACAAGTAGCACGAGGCAGCATATTTTATTGTTATGTATTTATGAGTGGGAACCCATTGTGCTTTCATCGTGTCTCTGATTTCAGACTGTTGAACTGATCAACATGTGGAGGTGGTGATGTGCCAGTGAGAGTAAAAAAACACCAACAAGGCAGCGATACTGCATAATTACATTTAAAATAGTCACAAAAAAAGTGGCTCGATGGCAAAAGCCTCATCACGTTCATTCTAACAAGACTTTTAAAGGCTCAAAAGGGATCATTATGACGAGTTAAAGATGATGCCAGGCTGTGTTTCTGGAAAGACTGAAGAATGGGTGTTATCATCCTGTGAGAACGACACCGTGTTCCCTGTAATGCTTCTCGTCTCTTGGTGCACTTCAGGCACCTGAGCTGATCAGGACAACATCCGATCCTATGTTCTGCTGTTCGTTGTCCCCTAAAAGCTGGGAGATACCTTTAGGCTCTTTAGCTTTAGCAGGAGCTTTACATGTGGAATAAGTGCACAGTTTGGAGCAGATTTGCACACGAGCAGGGCCGATTGAAGCAAGAAGGCAGCGTTTGGATGAATCCAAAATGATACCTTAAAGCTGACACGCCGCACTCTTGATTGAAGATAGGAAAGTGGCTCCTGACCAGCGCTGCCATGACAGCTGCTGTGTGGCAAATTTAGTGTGTTGAGAGGGGGGGCGGGGTTGGAGTTTTATCTTGGAAAGTCATGTGAGGAATTCTACAATTCAGGTGATGTGGAATGCCGGGTGTCAAAGGCTAAATCGGGTTTTGTCAAACCTCCCTAAAGCTGCAAGCGTTTAGCACATAAACACCGACGCTATTAAGGGCCGGGTATGTGTTCCTGTTTGTCCACATGACTGCGTTTAAGCCGCCGTGTTGCATAACCAGGCCCTGTTAGTGCCGGAATGAGTAATTGAATAATCAATATATCAGATATTTTTTTAAACCAGATAATCGTTGAAATAATTTATCTCGTTGGTTGGAAGTTCTCAGCTGTGAGGGTGTTTTGCTTTTGACAATGAAATATCTAAAAAATATGCAATTTGGATACTTGGGTTTGTTTTTCACAGTTTTCTGATATTTAGAGCTTCAGCAGTTAATCAGAAAAACACTCATCCTGTAATATGTGTACGTAACATCTTGCAGAACTCGTCGAGGTTCTTACACTGTTATCTGATGCTTTTTTATTGGAGCCCAGTGCTTTATGTTTTAGTAGATTTTTGGAAACCCCTGTTCTTCATACCACATCACAGACTGCATTTGTGTTATAGCATAGAAACACTAATTAGACAGCGACAAACCTGTTTCTATCCTGTAAGTCTAGTGTTTTTACAGTGTTACAGTTCCAATTTACGTAAATGACTAATGACTGTTCAATCTTTTAACTAGACTTTATAATAATATACTGTGTTTATATAGTGTTGCTGCTGTAATAAGCATTAACTGTAACTTCTAGTTGCCTTTAAATTCAAACCTTTTCTTCTTTTAAAGTGTGTAAATTGCTATAAACACCACAGTTTTGCACCTTTATGATCCACCATCGAGATCTAGCAGCTCGTTTTAAAACGCATACAGCACATAATCACCTCAAACAATGGAGGATAAACGATAAGAGGTTACATTTAATGCTTTTATATCGAATACATTTGAATTTCATGTCACAGAAAAGGAAAAAATGGTACAAAATTATGAAAAAATGTCTTTATTCTTTAAGGGAATCAATTTAAAGTCACAAATTATATTATTAGCTGCCTAAATCTAAACTCTAAGCAGGGCTTTGTGAGCTGCGTTTTTCTAAAATCCTGACTGAAACTCCTCAAACAAATAATTTCTCTTTCACATACTTGGCTTGCAACTGCATTTTAGAAATAAAGGGGATGCTGGAGGATACTGGTTTATAATTGGATAAAACTCCTGAAACCTTAAAAGTCTCTTTTAGATATAGCTTGTTAATAAAGAGAGATCGATCAGGTCTAAAAAACTTGTTTAGAAGAAGTGAATATTGAGTTCTGAGAGATTTACAGCAGAGAAGCAGTAGACATGTAATAGTCTAAGACATGTTCATGAATTTGTCTTTAAAAGTCCAAACTTTCCTTGTAAAGTAGGTCATGAAGTTGTCACTACTGAGTTTTTTTTTTCTTCAGTTTACACCCTCAGTAAATGCTCATTGTCATTTTTTGGCTCCAGAAAGCTTCCAGTTAACAGAATTATTTTGGAACAACAGCAGACTACTGTTAGAATTTGGCAGTGACTTTATTCCAACAGTGGGCTCCCTTTGCTGCAGCAGGTTTATGTGTGTGGATTGTGTGATTGTGTTGAGTTTGCACGGGGAATCTCCTCCTCAGTCCCACCCCCTTCACATTTAGCGTGCGATAAGAGGAGGCGGGCGGTGCAGCACCTCTCAGTCCACTCAGCGCGCAGCTCCGGAGCGCAGCATCCTCCACACTTCTGCAGGGAAATCCAACCGCGTCTCTCCTCCCTTTACCGCCTCTCAGCATCCAAAACCGGAGCTGCTCTTTTTCCACGGAGAGAAGCTCTTTAGATTTTTCTAACCCCGAACCGGCTCTGATTCGTGCTGTGAAACGCGCAGCCTGACTTTTTGCTTGTTCCCGATGTGGAGCCGCTCTTTGGACTCGCGGTGGGACGCGGTGTTTGCTTTGTGGATGTGCGGATCTCGGCGCTCTGCACACCGGCAGAAGCACCCAAAGTGCTGCTAGTATTAGTGGAGGGACTGACAGGACTTGTGTGCCGGCGGTGGAGCTGTGAGGAGGAGGAGGAGAAGCAGCAGCAGCAGCGTGGGAAGGAAACATGGTCCAGAACGTAATTCTGGTGTTTTTCCGCAGGAGACTGAGCCAGAGGCCGGCGGTGGAGGAGCTGGAGAGCCGGAACATCTTGAAGCGTAAGTAGTGTGGATGTATCCGAGGATGGATGGATGGATGGATGGATGTGTCTCGGATTTTAGTAAAAAGAAAAAAAAAATGTTAAGGAACAACTTTAGATATTTCAGTAGAAGTTTACAAATCGTCTTTAAACTAAAAAAAAAAAAAAAATGTTCAAATTTACCGTATTTCTACAATAACTCCTATGGTGTTCCAATCAGGTGTAGTTTGACTTTATGTTAATTTAATTTCTTATTTGTTGTATTTTTTTTTTTCTTGTACAATTTCTCAAATATGACTTTTTTTTTGCAAGCTTTTTTTTACATTTTTTTTATTGCCATTCAAAGACATTCACCAGAACAAATGCAGATTCAGGATAAAATATCTTTGCACCTAGCTCACGAATGCAATATTTACCAAAACAACAAAAAATCTGAATATATATAAGAATATTTTAACAAAAATAACAAAAATATTTCTGATATTTATGAAAAAAAAAGAATAAAACAACATAAGATAAAAAATGAAATAGTAAAACGGAACCCTTTTCCCAAATTAAATAGATGCAAATATTCTCTTTTTTTCTGTTTTAATTTTGTAAACTGGATGTCATTAGGGGGCTGCTGGTCACACCAAAAAAATAGTGTTTTGTTTTAAGGATTGATTGGACATTTGAAGTATTTTCCTACACTTTATTGCCATTAGTGTAGAAAGCTAGTTGCAGCTCTCTGTTAAGGTAATTAAAACAAACCACAAATCCCTCCAAATCAATGCAATGTTAGTAGTAGTAGTAGTTTCCCATCCTTATATTGACACAAGTACAATTTTACTTCTGCTAGGGAATAAAAAGGTGTCATATAATAGTGCTACAAACTGGGAAACTCGACCTCGCTGTCCAGAGACAACAGAACAATTACGAAACAGTCATGTGAGAATGAGTCCCACATTTTGCTGATCGTTGTCTCCCGCTTGAGACGACCACCTGTGAGCGCCGAGCAGCTGTCTGTATCCTCGTCTCTCTCTCTCTGTCTCTGCACAGCAACATGTGTTCAAGCTCCACACAAGCCCGTCTTATCCACAGCACATTTACTGTAAAAATGCTAAACTAGTTTCTGTTCCTGTTGCACCAAAAAAACAACAAAGTACGCGACAGGTGTCAGCCTTGTTTTAAGCTGCCAAAGTAGTTCACCAAATATATTTGGGCTGAGAGAGATTAAAAAATAAAAAATGAAGTGACATCCAGGGATCTTTCTGCTCTATCGAATAAAAGATAAACCCTATTAGTGCACTAATCTGCTCGTGTCTCGCTCGCTAACTCACATTCGGCACTGCTGCAGACCGGCTCACTGTGCTGAACTGGAATCCTGTATTAGCTCCGTTAATCACAGACTTCAGCGACCGTCAGCCCCGTGACAGTAACGGCTACATTTTGTAGAACGACTGAGAGACTCCAGAAAGGCTGAACATGTCGAATTAAAGCTATTTGATCTTTCTGACCTGCTTTTCGGTGCTAATATTCATCTTTCCTTGTGTCAACAGAGAGAAATGACCAGACTGAACAGGAGGAGAGGAGGGAAATTAAACAGCGGCTGAACAGAAAGGTAGGCTTCGGTTTGAGTTCCATTTTCAATATTTAGTTTCTCTCACCAGTGTCTTTAAATGCAGCTGATGGGAGCCACCACTGACATTTGTGTTTGTTTTGCAGCTGAACCAGCGTCCGACGGTGGACGAGCTGCGGGACAGAAAGATCCTGATTCGTTTCAGCGACTATGTGGAAGTTGCAAAAGCTCAGGACTATGACAGGCGAGCTGACAAGCCCTGGACCAGACTGTCAGCTGCTGACAAGGTAGTTGAAACCCCCCCTCTGTGTATTGCATTCAAAAAAAGGCCTTAGAAAGTGATGCAAAAGTCGAGAATGCTCATCAGCTCCTACTGTTGGCAGAACTTTTGGCCACATAAATACACATAATTCTAAACTTTTTATTTGGACAATTGATCCATTCACTCTGTGCTGATGTGAATCCAGGTCATGTTACTATGATTAAACAGATCATGAGGAATTTTCCTTATATGCTGCTGGGAAGTACTGAAGAACGATCATTGTAGTCCATCTCATCCCTGCTGGGTTTCCATCGTACTCTGTCCAATGTGATAAAACAGGCGTTAAATTGCATTTTATGTGGCTCACTTTCACTAAACTTTCCCAGTAATACCCAGTAAAGCTTACATAATCTGCACCTCAACAACACATGTTTCTCACAACATGTGAGCTTCCCCAGCTGAGCGACTGCATCAGTGTACGAGGAGGGACACCTGAGCTCACGCTTTGTGCTTCTTCTTTTTTGTTCCGCAGGCGGCGATACGGAAGGAACTGAACGAGTTCAAAAGCAATGAGATGGAAGTTCATTCTTCGAGCAAGCATCTGACAAGGTCATTATGGACGCATTGTTAGCTTTTCTTTTCCAGCTCTCTCTTTTTGTCAAGCTATTGTTCGTGGATGATGTCTAAGAGGGTCAGTGTGACATTGTGCAACGATTCCAAGGTGCATTATCCAACGGTTCCACATCAATGAGTGCAAACCCTGCAGACCAGAGCCTAAATTTAGCTACAACCTGGCCCCTTGAGATCAAAAAGTTGCACCCTTTTGCACCACCTCTCTGCTATAATGAATGTCCGCTCTCATTTAGCTTACGCTTTGCTTGTGGCAGGACTGTCCGTAGCTAAAAAAAAACCCTGAATTGAACAGTTTCGTGCTTACGCAAGACCCCATTTTTAAGCAGCACTATCCATTGAGTTAATAATAGCACCGTTGATTGATGACACCCTAATATGTGGATATTTTCGTCCACGCTCACACTTTCCCCTCTTTTCCGCCTTGCAGGTTCCACCGGCCTTAGCAAGGTTTCTTCTGTGAAGAGTTGCTTATATCTGGTCCTGTCAGTGAAGACTTTGCACGGAGTCTTCCAGCGCCTTGGCCCACAGTCAGTGGGTGTCCTGATATTCGGGTCCAGCGAACCTTGGAGGCTATGTCTCTAGAAATGGATCTGCCGTTAGAAGGGGACGCATGCAGCAGGCTCCACTTCCGCTCAGAGGAACATCTCCTTCACCTTCACTTCACCTTGCCAGAGGAGCAGGAAGAATCAAGGCCATGGATTCGCCATAGACACGCAGAGACTTCTTTTTGTAAACAGACTCTTTTGAAAGACGTCCTTTTTGACGCGGCAGGGGGGCACCGTGCATGTGACCGAGTCGACCAGTCCCACTCCAGTATCAGTAGTCACATCCCCGAGCTGTGTCTGAGTCTCACTGATTCAGTTGATGATGAATTTCATATCGACAGTGTAAATGTTCTTAAACAGAAATCTTGTCTGTGTACGAGACAAAAATCCCTTTGTAAGCACTATTTATTGTCTGCACAATACAGGTTTTCAATTTGTAACAAACCGTGTTTGTCTTGAGTGAATTAAGTGCGCTTTCTTTTTTCAAAATCACATTTTAATATCATGATACAAGTGATATTTTTTAAAAAATGTGATTTGAAAGTGTTGTTTTTCTCGCAAGGGTCAGAATTAGGGTGATGATAGTTTGACTGCGCCTCACAAACGGGTTGTAATCTCTTCATATTCATCCCCGCGATCTCATCACTGTTGCGCTTTAGTAAGCAGATAATAAAATTGCAGTGAAGTTCACCTTGTTCCGTCAGATAAAGCAGCAATTAGTTTACGAAATGCAGGCAGTGACCTGTTTCTTATCATGGGGCTCTATTATTCTCCGACAAATTAGGTTCTCTTGCAGCGCGTTAAGCGGGTTAGCGTCTCATGAAAACAACTTCATCCGACTGTATTTGTCCAATTCGGGGCGAGCTGTTGATCTAGTAACTGTTAGTGCTGCTGCTGCGTCACACTGGAACAAGAATCAGAACAAGTCATTGTTTTTGACTTGCTGACACATCTAGACAGGCAGTTATTATTAATCTTCCGATTATTCCCAACACATTAAAATGAAAACAGTCACTGAAAAGCCTCTGTTAAAAAGCTGATATTCAAATTTCTAAAATAAATTTTAAAAATCAACCCATGTAGCATCTCCGGCAGGCCTGACCTTATTGGCAGCGCAGCCCTCTGACATCGACATGCATGTGATGTGAGTCACAGCCTCGGTCCAGGAACAGATGGCAGGTCCAGTGTGAACCGTACTGTACTCCAGGACCTCTCGCTGTCTGGAGTAAAGAAACCAGCAGCAGTCCAGAACCTGTGGAGGTGCGTGGGAAGAACAAGGGATGCTCTCGTGGGCATGAGGAGGGATGTCCTGACTTCCGGGTGTTTTTCCGATGGGCGAAGGCCAGGGGTAACTCACGCCGAACATATGTTCTGCAGTTTTAAGCCAAGTGTGAGCGTGATAACTTTGTGTTCCAAAAATAAGGTCACCGAACCTCATATTCAAGATAGATTTTGTTTCCAGTCATTCACGTCACTGCACCCGGAAGAGGTCGCTGATTGACAAAAAAAGATTCTCATGACGAAATCAACCAACGATCGATGAAATATTAAAAGTGACACACTTCTTTTATTCCAGGCCATAACGGTGCTTTAATGATGTAACCCGTCATCCCATGTTTCCAATAATGCTGCATCAATTTTTTTTGCATCACAGTTAAAGCCAGTCCCCAGAGCAAACGTCACAACCGAGCATCAGGCCTGCTCCTAATATGGTGAGTTCTTATATAACTACCGGCGACTAGCACGAGATGACAGCCCCAAATAAAGGCACAGCGCTGCAAGGCCGCATGGATGTTTGTCCCAACAACACACTGACTGGCATGACAGCTACGACTGTTGCTGAAGAAAATCCATACAAATGAGCAACGTGAAAAAAAACAAGGGCGATGAGATCCAGGCAGCTGCCGAGAGGGCCGGGACGTTTGTTTGTGTTTTGTGGTGCGGCTGTAAAAGGCCGAGAACAAGGCATCAGAGGAGATGCCGGGGCCTCACGGATCAATTTTGCTGCATTGTTGTGGCTGTTTGCATTATCATTATGCAACCTACAGAGGCCAGTTGCAGGAGACAACAAGCGAGAGTTGCCAGGTTACGAGCGTCCACCGAGAGCTCTGATCATAATGCACATTTCTTCAGGGAGTCCGTGCATAAAACCTTATTTTTGTACTCAACCCACTACAAATAGAAAACAAAGAGAGGTCGGGGCAGTTTTGTAGGAAGCTCTCAGGGTGCAATGATGGGACTATGTGGGTCAGTTTCAAGCCACTACAGTAGAGCGGTAAATCAGAAGGCCTGGTATTTACAAGATGTGTTTATAAGGTGCCAAAAAGGAGCAAAAAAAGTGCACTGATCTCAAGGTTTAGGAGCAAAACTTTACATTTAAGTAAAGCCTTGAGCATTATTCTGAGCAAAAATATAAAGGCAGCTAGTAACAGTTTACTCAATTCTGTCCATTCTGTTTAAGATAGGGGGAGTAAGTATTCCAATCTCTACAGCACATCACCAAACAATCAAGTAAACTGGAAGTGATAACAGTCAGGTGGAGAGTGGAGTCACACAGCGGAAGTCACAAGTCAGCGTTGAGTCAGACATCTGCCACGGAGGCTGTTATTGAGGTTGTTGATGCTGCTTGTGGAATGTTGTTCCACCGTTCCCGAAGCTCCACTGCCACAACTTCTTAGATGACGAATGGTGGCGTTGTGGTCCTACCTGACATCATCTCTTGTCATCTGTGTCATTTTTCTAAAGCTGCATTTGAAGGTGGTTTTGTAATGAATGGTTAAAGACGTGTTGCAGAAGTGTGATCATTGTCCTCTGCACCTGACTAAGGTGTGGATGAACTCAGCGGTCAAGAATTTGTCACCAGTTGAACAGCTGAAAAGCTTTGTGTGCACAATTGGCTAAATTTAACCCACCCCCTTAAAAAAAACAAACATCCGGAGCATAAGAAGATGCATTTTTAACCTTTTCTCTGAGTGGGGAAAGAAGACCATTAGCAGGTTGCGTTTATATTCTTGTCTAGTGTATCTTCTATGTTTACTCTGCCACATGTCAGAGTATTTTTTTGTTTTTTTGTCCACTGCATTTACAGCTTTCGTTGCTAGTTCCTATGTAGATCCTAAGTTTTTGTACCCAACTTATCATAATCTTATAAAACATGATGAGGAAATATGACAGATTGAGCTGTCTGAAGTCACTTAAATGTGCTCAGACGACATTATTATGTACAGTATGTGTAACTGTAGCAATATTAACACAACAATACAATATAATGCGCATTACTACATTCTGAGTGATATTACTTTCTCTTTTCATTACATTTTTGCTGATAAAAACTGAAAACTTCCTCTAACACTGCAATCAGAAATGTGAAGTTCCAGGCCAAGATTTGTAGTTACTGTATTTTAAATTGCAGTACTGTATCTTCAGGCTGAGCAATGGCGCCATCTAGTGTACTGCAAACACACCAGCATTCATGGAGTAGGTGGACAAAGAGTGGATGGTATTTTTGGTGCCACAGTGCTTATGTACATGCACATTAAAAGACAAAACAAAGAATTCAAAAACTTCTCTGCACAGTCTGTAGCTGTTGCTGTTTGTACGCCTAAAAATTAAGTTAGGTTGAATTTGAGAACTTTATTCAAATCTACTTTAGTTTGTTTCTCAAATGGCATCTAGTTTCACATATATGACTGAATAAAATAATTACTTACTGTAGTGGAAGACTTGTTCTTATAGTAAAGTAAAATAACACTCCAGTGTGAGTGAAAACTACTTAAGTAAATATTGCATTAAATGTAATTGCACAAGCACTTTTTATACAGAACAGCCCTGTTTTACTATGCAACATATTTAATTTTGATCATGTGTGCAAACATTTGAATATAAACTGATTCATGATTTCTTTTTTAAAATAATTATTGCACTTGTGTTTTTTTAGGAAAGAGTGTAAGAATATTAAAAGAAAGTCATACGAGGGATGTTTGCTTCAGAAACAACACAGCTGAGAAAATGAATTTCCTGTATTTCTCAATGGCAAGTCAGATTTTTTTCAGTTGTAGGAACATTTTCTCAATTTGAATGTTTTAACAGCGTTTCTACAATGACAAATCTACAGATAAATAAATTAGAAAAACATATGTAAAATCTAAGAAAATTTGATCACCAGTAATGACTCATAGGTGACTTGCAAGAGGACCTGATCTGCTCTGCAGGCGGTCAGATGAGGTAGCTGCTGTCATGTTTATAGCACGCCATACAGCTGCTGTGACGAATGCAGATGGAAGAATGTCCTCCGCCTGCCAGAAAGCGCTCTGGAATCTGGGCTCTCGTATCAGTGGAAACATTTTGGTGAAAGGTCAGCACTGTCTGGGACCTGTGGGTCGAGTAAACACTTCTCCTCGTAATCCTCCTCCTTAAAACAAAACAAGCTCCACAAGAATGGGGTCAGGCCCCCGTTTGCACAAAGTGCACAAGCTGCTCGGGTTGCGGCAGGTCGTCGGTGGGAAATCAGGAAGGAATATGCTGTGTGCTTGTTGCCTGGAGTCGGTGGTACGACGCAACAACTCAGACGGTTAAATTGGGTCACCGGCTTTGTAGAAAGTGCAAAGGGAGCAAATTCTTCTGCAAGTCTGTACTGTGGTGGCAGGGGTTTAATGGAAATAAAAAGCCCAGCAGGAGCACTGAAATCCTGACTTCAAACACAGTGGCATAATTTAAACCGGCACTCCGCTGTGCTGGGTTTACACACCGTGGTCGCTTTCTTTGTCACCAGGTGATGCCATCGAGGTTATCCTGAAGCTTCAGAAAGTCAACATAAATCCTGTGGAGGTGGGGGTAGAGCTGTGTTTAACGCAGGACTGTCAGCACATCTCAGCTGCTTCAGAATTAACCAGTCTTTGAGGACGTGCAATGTTAAAATGAATGGTGACTTAACAACACTCAGCTGTTTATTTTCTTTGCCAGTAATCCATCCATTATCTATACACCGCTTAATCCTCACTAGGGTCATGGGGGGCTGGAGTCTATCCCAGCTGACTCAGGGTGAAAGCAGGGGACACCCTGGACAGGTCACCAGTCTATCACAGGGCTACACTTAGAGACAGACAACCAAGCACACTCACATTCACACCTATGGACAATTTAGAATCACCAATTAACTGCAATGTGTTTTTGGACTGTGTGGGAGGAAGCCAGAGAACCCGGAGAGAACCCACGCTGCCAGTAATCCGTCATTTCAAATTCCAAAACCAGCTTCTTTTTTTTTTGACTCTCTAACCACATTTACTGTCACATTAGGTACAAATTATCAAATCAACCCAAGAAAACAATATTTATTAACTGCATTTACTCCTGTATACTAAAAACTTGACCGACTGTAAAGCTCCTGTTGTTTTTCCCAAATTTAAAGTGTCACATTGGAGTTCTTCCATGTTAAATCACCTTGTAATTGGCAATTAAATAGTTCGTCAGCTCCATTGTTTAACTAATCGTACTGCACTGTAAAACTTGATTACATGTAAACAACAAATAAAATAAAATTAACATGCAACTTAGTGCAGAAGATGGAAAATATTTATGCAAATTGCAGTTACAAGTATGAATATTCAAATCTCATCAGGTAGTAGGTAAGTGCAACATCATTAAACACCTTTAGTAAACTGATCACATTTTTAAAATAAAAATTTGAATGAAAAATCACTACATCAGGTACATGCAACAAAGTGGCACAAAAAAAGTGCAAATACCTTAATGCTGAACTTGAGTTTAACAAGTTTTGCTGTAGAGTAATTTGATTTTTTTTTAAAATGTCTCAGCGTGCAGGTGTTCTAGCTCCCCCATGTGGCCACTCAGGTGAAATGCAGCATGCTATCCTCACACTCCCTGGGAACAGTCACTTTGTAGCTGTGGCATGACAGTTTGTAATTGTGGCCGTTGTTGTTGTCCCAGTAATCACATCCTTGTACGTGATAGCAGATTGCAAATTCCAACATGGCTCCCGGCTGCATGATGAAGGGCGGGACGGGAAGATGAAACCTGAAGACGTCCGTTCCTGGAGCGTCGGGCTCCCCGCGGCGCCCGCTCGATACCCAGGGCGCTTTTGAGCGGTTTTGCGTTCTCCAGTTGGTGAAGGAGTAGTGCACTGTGACCTGCTTCTCGTAAGCTAAGTTCAGTACTTGTATGGTGCCCGTTATCCCCTGATCCGAACACACAACCTGCTCCAGACACACCTTCTGAGTGCAGACATGTTTCAGAAATCCCGGCTGGGCTCCCATATTTTCAGAAAAGCATGGTTTGAAATAAGGCAAGGACAGCTCCAACGACTTCCCGTAAGCCAGCTCAGAGCTCATCAGCAGCCTGAACATGACATGCTGAGGTATCAGGGGTTTTTCTTGAACTTTAAAGACCTTGACTTCCTCCAAGTTAAGGCCCAGAGAGTCCACAAAGCGAACCTGCAGCCTTCTAAGTTCTCGCTTCCTCTCTGCAGACGACGTAAGAGACTGAGCTCGTCTCCTCATGATCGTCTTGGTTGGAGGATCGCTGGGAATGCCGTGATTTGGTTGAGGTTCCTTTACGGAGGGAGTTCTGGGACTTGGAGGGCGGATCCGGACTGGGGCTTTGGGAGGTTGAGGCTTGGGATCGTAAAGGTCCCGAAGACGGATAGTGGTGGAGGCTCTCATGAACTGAAGCTGGGTCCCGCTCTTTTCACCAGCCATGTTCTTCGATTGAACACACCTTGGGAAACAAACCAGCGCCACTCATTTAACTTGTTCTTACTGTACATGCAAGTATCAAGTTAAAAGCCCCGATTTCCTAAACAAAACAGCAATAATTTAACAAAAGCATGCTTAAAATCTAAAGCAATCCAAAACACACTGAAGACAGACCAAACCTTTACAGCAGTGCTCTGCCGTTGAGCTGCTCTCTTGCATTTGACCTTGCTCGCTGTTATGAAGTTGCTATAAACCCAACTGCCACCACATGACAGACAAGAGGAGACCAACTCTGCCAGCGAATACCCCTGACGTTCCACACGAAGCCAGATGCAACATCTTGGTTAATGAATCTGCAAGACACAGACAGCAGACGATCCAGTAAGAAGAGCCGATAAACAACACGACTCGCCTACGGAGCCATCAGGGACTGCACTAGATCAGGATGACACACTGTAATCTATGGCTCCCACCCTTTGAGCTCAGCCCTTGACATATAACATGAGACCCTAACTGGGGATGGGAGGCGCAGAGGGAATATTTATAGCAGGTAGCGGTGGACTGTGGCTTTCTTGCTTCTTTATAGCGACTGACGTAAAGACGCAACTGTTTACAGGGTTAGAAAGGGCGACGAGCATGCGTCAAGAATTTATAGTTGTTGAGAATAGGCCATTTTTCATTAAATTGCAAGATGATTAGACATCTTACGTCATGTATTTTCAGTATTTTCTGTATATTTTATATACTGACAACGGGTGAGGACTTATGTGGTTATAGTGAGAGACTAACATACTAAAATGCATTGGTAAAAAATATGGTAGGTCAAATGTGCCATAATGTTATAATTTACATGTTTATGTTGTCCATCCATTATTTTTTTTGCTCTGTCCTGTTAATAGGATGTCATTGGAAATGAATATATCCATCATCTTACAGGTTAAACACATTAAATACAGTTTATAAAACATTGTATTTAAAAAACATTCACTGGATCTGCTTAAGACATATCTATCTGTTCGTGAACGCCATAACATCACGTGATGAGTCCAAATGTTTTAGCTAAGTTATGTTTGTCAAACACAGGGCAGAAAGTTACAGCCAGTCATTTAAAAACAGAAGATAAGTGTTTTAATGAAAATTATTTATTTTAAATGTAGCAATCGTTAAAAAGTCATTGGTTCAAGCTACTTCAGCTAGCTAGTGCTAGCACAAGCTAGCTGGCGTTTCTCATTAGCGAACATTAGCTAGCCCTTGTTCGGCACTGTAAAAATCAGTTATTTGAAAACAGAAGACAAAGGTTTAACAGCGACTGTTTTGACGTAAGTTTGGTTCATGTTAAATATAGCAATCAATAAGTAAAGTCACTATTTTCAAATTCCGTCAATTTAACAGCTTAACTAATGCTAGTGTAAGCTAGCTGACATTTCTCATTAGCTAACATTAGCTAGCCCTCCTTCCACACTGTAAAGGTGGCGTTTGTGCTAATTCCTACCTGTTAGCAAGTAAGCTATTTTCTAC